CCTTGGCCTCCCAAGGTGCTATGATTACAGGCGTGAGCCACCACGCTTGGCCGAAAAATTATTATTTGAAATTTTTTCCAGTAATCTATCTGGTTGTGACTCTTAAATTTATTGTACAGGTCATTCACTTGTCTCTATTCTGCTGACATATTTTTTAGCTCTGGAAATTCCCCTCACTCTCACTTTCTCCTTTTGTTTCTTTAAACATAATTTTCTCTGTCTTCTGTGGCTGTTGGGCCACTGGATTAGGGCTCTAATGTGTTAACTGTCTCTGGTTAAATTCACTTTCCTTTTTTTCTTTTTTTTTTTTTGGAGATGGAGTCTCGCACTGTCACCCAGACTGGAGTGCAGTGGCGTGATCTCGGCTCACTGCAACCTCTGCCTTCTGGGTTTAAGCAATTCTCCTGCCTCAGCCTCCCGAGTAGCTGGGACTACAGGTGCACGCCGCCATGCCTGGCTAATTTTTTTTGTATTTTTGTATTTTAGTAGAGACAGGGTTTCACCATGTTGGCCAGGCTGGTCTCAAACTCCTGAGCTCAAGCAATCCGCCCTCCTCAGCCTCCCAAAGTGCTGGGATTACAGGTGTGATCCACTGCACCTGGCCCACTTTCTTTTTTTTCTAGTAATTCATTCTTTTTTAAATTTTAGGTTTTTTTTTAAGGCCAGTTAGAAGATAATCTTAATTTAGTTTTTTGTTTGTTTTTTGTTTTGTTTTGTTTTTGAGACAGTCTCACCCTGTCACCCAGGCTGGAGTGCAATGGTGTGATCTCAGCTTACTGCAACCTCTGCCTCCCAGATTCAAATGATTCTCCTGTCTCAGCCTCCCAAGCAGCTGGCTTACAGGCGCGCGCCACCACGCCTGGCTAATTTTTTGTATCATTAGTCAAGACGGGGTTTCACCATGTTGACCAGGCTAGTCTCAAACTCCTGACCTTGTGATCCACTCGCCTCGGCCTCCCAAAGTGCTGGGATTACAGGCGTGAGCCACTGCTCCCGGTCTTATTTAGTTATTTTTATAACAGTTTTAATATAACTCCCCTTGTGTAAGGGGTACTCCTTTTCTTTTTTTTGAGACACAGTCCCGCTCTGTTGCCCAGAGTGGAGGGCAGTGGTGTGATCTCGGTTCACTGCAGCCTCCGCCTCCCAGGTACAAGTGAATCTCCTGCCTCAGCCTCCTGAGTAGCTGGGATTACAGGCACCCTCCACCACACCTGGCTGATTTTTGTATTTTTAGTGTAGATAGAGTTTTGCCATGTTGGCCAAGCTGGTCTTGAACTCCTGACTTCAGGTGATCCACCCGCCTCGGCTCCCCAAAGTGCTGGGATTACAGGCATTAGCCACCATGCCTGGCCAAATATTTTTTATTTAAGTATAAAATGCATACAGAAACGTGTCCCTATCACAAATGTCCATCTCAGTGAATTTTCCCAAATTGAGTACACCCATATCAAGCAACCATTCAGCACCTATGTCAAGCAACAGAACATTAGCATCCCAGAAATTCCCTTAATGTTCCCTTCACCAAGGGAACATATCCCACCTCCTTCAGGATACCATTATTCTGACCTTTAAATAGTTGAACTGCTTTTTGTAGATTCTAAAAATAGAATCATGCAGTTTGTACTCTTTTATATCTGGCTTAACTCAACATTTTATCATTATGTTCATGTTGTTGCTTATAGCTGTAACATTTTCGTTCTCAATACATCATATTGTAGTTTTCATTTTGTGAATATACCATAATTAGTTATGCATTCTTCTGTTGGCAGACCTATGTATAGTTTTCAGTTTGGGGCTATTATAAATAGTGTGGCTAAGAACTTTCTAGCAAATTTTTTCTGATTATATATGTAATTTTTGTTTTCAAATAAATGCAGGGTCTCACTTTTGCTCAGGCAGGAGTGTAATGGAGTGATCATAGCTCACTGCAGCCTTGACCCCCTGGGCTCAAGCAATCCTTCTTTCTTAGTCTCTCAAGTAGGTAGGACTACAGGCATGCACCACCATGCCCAGCTAATTTTTTATTTTTATTTTTAAGTTTTTTATAGGAGCAGAATCTCATTATGTTGTCCAGTCTGGCCTCAAACTCCTGGCCTCCAGTAATCCTCCCGCCTTGGCCTCCCAAAGTGCTGGGATTATAGGCATAAGCCACTGCCCATGGTTTTATGTATATAGGTTTGATGGGTATATATTTCAGAGTGGAATTTATGGACTCTAATGGATATTGCCACCCAGTTTTCCAAATGGTTGTATAAATTTGTACTCCCATAGCATCCAATGTGAGTTTAGGTTGGTTCATATCCTCCCTAACACTTGGTATTTCCTACCTTTTTCATTTTTGTCTTTTTCTTTTCTTTTTTTTTTGGAACAAGGTCTCACTCTGTCACTCAGGCTGTAGTGCAGTGGCACAATCTTGGCTCACTGCAACCTCCGCCTCCCAGGCTCAAGTGATCCTCTTACCTCAGCCTCCCGAGTAGCTGGGACTACAGGCATGCGCCACCATGCCAGGCTAGTAGAGATGGGGTTTCGCCATGTTGCTCAGGCTGGTCTTGTGAGATTAAGCCATTTGCTGCGCTAGCCTCTCAAAGTGCAGGATTACAGGTGTGAGCCACTGTGCCTGGCCATTGTTTTATTATTACTATTTTTTTAGAGAGAGGGTCATGCTGTGTTACCCAGGTGGGCCTTGAACTCATTGGCTCAAGAAACCCTCCCACCTCAGCCTCCCAAGTGGCTAAGACTACAGGTACATGCTGCTGTGCCCAGATTTGGTTACTTTTACTATATTTAAAACTAGTTTTGCTGGGCACCATGGCTCACGCCTGTAATCCCAACACTTTGGGAGGCCGAGACAACTGGATCACTTGAACTCAGGAGTTCAAGACTAACCTGGGCAACTGGCGAAATCCCATCTCTACAAAAAGTACAAAAATTAGCCATCGCAGTGGTGTGTGCCTGTAGTCCCACCTACTGGGGAGGCTGAGGCAGGAAAATTACTTGAGCCCTGGAGGCCGAGGTTGCAGTGAACCGAGATTGCATCAGTGCACTCCAGCCTGGGCGACAGAGCAAAGCTCTGTCTCAAAAAAATAAAGATAAATAAATAAAATTAGTTTTTAGTTTGACAAGTGAAAACTGGCATCTTGTTTACTTTGCGTTATTTTGGTTTCTGGCAATGGTAAATATTTTTAATTGTTATTGTGTTTTGAGGGACAGTATTGCTCTGTCACCCAGGCTGGAATGCAGTGGCACTTTCATAGCTCACTACAGCTTCAACCTTCTGTGCTCAAGTGATCCTTCGCCTCAGCCTCCTGAGTAGCTGGGACTGGACGTGCATGCTATCATAACCAGCTAATTTTTTTTATTTTTGATTTTTGTAGAGACAGTGTCTTGCTATGTTGCCCAGGCTAGTCTTCAACTCCTTGCCTCAAGCCATCCTCCAGCCTTGACCTCCCAAAGCACTGGGATTATAGGCATGAGCCACTGCACCCTGCCTAATGTTTTGGTTTGTAGTATTAATTGGTAATGACTTCTAGTGCTGTTTTAATGATGTTAGCTACCATTTGTTGAGCACTTTCCTGACTATCACAAATACTGTGTTAAGCATTTTATATGTGTTATCTATTTTAATCCTCTGAACAGCCCAGTCAGTTGTAGATACTTTTAATATTTCATGACTGAGGAAACGGATTTTATAGGGGAAAACTGACTTGTTTAAAAGTGCTACATTGGCCAGGCGCGGTGGCTCAAGCCTGTAATCCCAGCACTTTGGGAGGCCAAGACGGGCGGATCACGAGGTCAGGAGACTGAGACCATCCTGGCTAACCCGGTGAAACCTCGTCTCTACTAAAAAATACAAAAAAACTAGCCAGGCAAGGTGGCGGGCACCTGTAGTCCCAGCTACTCGGGAGGCTGAGGTAGGAGAATGGCGTAAACCCGGGAGGCGGAGCTTGCAGTGAGCTGAGATCCGGCCACTGCACTCCAGCCTGGGCGACAGAGCGAGACTCCGTCTCAAAAAAAAAAAAAAAAAGGTGCTACATGATTAGGAAACTCAGATTATGTGATCTGTTACTGCACCATTTCCCCTCAACTTTTGTTATGAGGAATATTCATATATATTTATAGAAGATTGGATTAAATGTATATATATTCTAGATCCCAGATATATATGTCTGTAATTTAACTGGTTCTCTTAAAAGCAAAATGATCAAATAAGGTATTTGGTAGGGCTAGAGGAGATAAAAAGATTTTAGTTTGATTCTAATTAGAAAGTTGGTTATAAATGTTTAAAGCCGGAAGTATTCTTAAATATTTCTCAAATTACATTCCATTGCACAGTTTGGGAAATTTTCCTATTTCCTGACCAGATAACTTTGAGTAACACCTATTAACACGCAGATAACTTTGGGTAACACCTAACTTTGGGTAAAACCTATTAACTTTATTCTAGAACTTCCCAAATCATTTGTGTGCTCTTTTGTAGTAGACCTGTTTATGTCTTGTGGAACAACATGTCACAAATACATGAGTTTGAGACAAAAGCTTATGTCATTCATCCTTTTATTTTGTAAGGGGTGGAATGGAGATCCAGTGTGGGTTAATTTGTTGGCCTAAGATTACACAGCTACTAAATGGCAGAGCCAGGATCCAGTTCTTCCTTTGTACCATGTTTCCTCTAGTAATATTATTAATATGTAGCATTAATATTTATTCATCATATACTGTGTTAGGAAGTTGTAAAGAAGACTTGAGTGTAATTTTTAAAACCTTACCATCTAGTCCAGTTATCAGTCTTACTCTGATAATTACATATACAGTTCTTAAACTTCTGAGATTTATGTGCATATGAGTAGCTTAACTTATTTAATTTGAATACATATTTATAATCACTTGTTTGTATTTATAGAGATGAAAAGAGTAATTTTTTTCTGTAATTAATGTGTCATAATGTTTGGTTTAGCTTCTGTAGAAAATGTTTCCTGACTGCAATGAGGGAAAGCGGAGCACATTGTCCCCTGTGTCGTGGAAATGTGACTAGAAGAGAGAGAGCATGTCCTGAACGGGCCTTAGACCTTGAAAATATAATGCGGAAGTTTTCTGGTAGCTGCAGATGCTGTGCAAAACAGGTAGAGTAAATGTGACATATCTCTTCTTTGGAAGCCAAGTTTCTACTCTGAAATTCTTGTTTGAATTTTCTTGGTTGCTGCTTTTTTTGTTTGTTTTTTTTTGAAAAGATGAAAGACATTTAGACTGGGAATTGGATAGAAAAGGCCAAAAAAAGCTGTGGTCATAGATCTTACTAGATTATAAACTTACTGAGAAATGACACTGAAAAAAAATCACTGAATTTCATGATATTTAGCATGGCATTTTTCTAAAAGTAGTTTCTCATTGATTACTTACTTAAAGTAACTAAATTAGCAAACTGGCATTTAGCTCATTTAAACCTCATTCTGGTACAAATTCAACCCTTAAGTTTTTCTCATGGTAGCATCATTATTGCAGCTTTGCACATAGACATGTTACTAGTTTGGGCACATGGATTTATGTAGTTAAGGAACTCTCTAGCTGCTCACTTTACTTATATATTTATGTATTTAAGAAATCACAAGCTCCGGGCATGGTGGCTTACGCCTATAATCCCAGCACTTTGGGAGGCCAAGGTGGGTAGATGACCTGAGGTCAGGAGTTCGAGACCACCCTGACCAACATGGTGAAACCCTATCTCTACTAAAAATACAAAAATCAGCTGGTGTGGTGGTGCATGCCTATAATCCCAGCTACTTGGGAGGCTGAGGCAGAACTGTTTGAACCCAGGAGGTGGAGGTTGTGGTGAGCTGAGATTGTGCCATTGCACTCCACACTGGGCAACAAGAACAAAACTGTCAGAAAAAAAAAAGAAAGAAATCACAACATATTTGGTTAATTTTAAGGAACATGTAGGAAAATCAGGTGTTAACAAATAACCAGCATTAATTCTCTAATCTGGATTTTATTGTTCTAGCATTTGGAGAAGGAATAAAATAGTGAGGGGTGGTTAGGCTTTGAATATATCCATGTGTCCATAGATTTATCACCGACATTTTTTCTAATAGCTAATGAATTCAGAGCAAAACTGGTTGCTATTTCATGCATTCACACAAGTCAGATCTGCTTTTCCATCTTTTTGAAGGAAGTGTTTGACAGGGCAATGAATTGAAGCTAGAAAACACACTTGAGGGATTCTGGCTATTCCTCTCAGTGAGAAACTGAAAAATGTTCCAAGTATTCCTGGGAACTTAATTTTTTTTTCTTTTTTTGGAGACAAGGTCTCACTTTGTCACCCAGGCTGGAGTACAGTGGCACAGTCTTGGCTCACTGCAGCTTTGACTTCCCAGGCTTTAAGCAATCCTCCTGCCTCAGCCCCTCAGGTAGCTGAGATTACACCTGGCTAATTTTTGTATTTTTTTTATAAACGGGGTTTTACAATGTTGCTCAGGCTGGTCTCGAACCCCTGAACTCAAGCAGTCCACCGCCCCAGCCTCCCAAAGGGCTGGGATTACAAGTGTGAGCCACTGCACCCAGCTAGGAACTTAATTTTTTTAAAGTGCTTTCTAACTCTGCCAGGCTGCAGAAGTTAAATAAGAAGACATGCCCAATAGCATCTGGCATCCTCTTAGTGCTTTTAATTTTTTTGTCTACTACTAGTAGTATCTTTTCAAGTGTGAAGTTATTTGCTATTTTTTGCAGTGAATTTATGGACAGATGGACTCTTCTCCATCTCTTCATTTAATGAACAGAAATGTATTATCTATTTTTAACTCCTACTTAAGGATGAAATCATTTACTTAAAAAAAATACAACTCTTGTTTAAAAGGAGTATTTAGTTTTTTTTCCCTCTTTTTGACACTATCTCAAATCTTATGAGTTCTATTTTAAATTAAAAGTCACATTTTAATAATTTACAGATTAAATTCTATCGCATGAGACATCATTACAAATCTTGTAAGAAGTATCAGGATGAATATGGTGTTTCTTCTATCATTCCAAACTTTCAGATCTCTCAAGATTCAGTAGGGAACAGGTAAGCAATACTTATTCCTAAATACAGAATTTTCATAATTGAAATGGAAATTGTTTTGGGAACTATATGATAAGGTATTTGGGGTGAGGTGTGTGTGTATGTACACATGTGTTTTTAAAGTGAATTGCCAAGTATCAGAACTACAGCATTTGCCTTCAAAATCTGTTTGGCACACGTAAGATCTCATCTGGGAGATGAACTTCATGAACTTAAGCTTATGTTATTTAAAATCATTCTAAGAATTTTCATTTTTGAGTAAAAAATAAGTTGGAGATTTTTCTCTTACTGATTTTGCAACTGAAGTGATTTGAAAAACTATAGAAAAATCTTTTCAGTAATGTATTTGCAAACTACAGCCTATTTTTTCTTTGCTATCTAAGGGATAGACTTAGAGTTTGAAATTTTTATTCTAAAATGTCATGTCAAAGTGAAACTAGGTGCAATGCAGTTCTATTTGAGTCTCATTTCTTTTAAACAACTAGATTTGGATTGATTTGTATCTTATTTCAGATTTATGTACATTAAACATTTTTATGAAATGTATTTTACACAGAAAAATGGCCAAAATGCACTTGTGGTTTAAAAAAATAATGATAAACATCCAGTTACCTATTAACCCAGGTCAAGAAATAGGACATTTTTCAGAACTTTAGAATCTCTGTGTGAACTCCTGCCCCATTTGAACCGTATACTTCTAGATGCAACCACTATCCTCTTATTTGGATTATTCATTCCTTTGATTTTCTTTATGTATCATCACCCATGCATGTATCCCTATAACAATGCATTGTTAATTTTGAAAACTTCAGTAGTAAGCACACACATAACTGTGTAAGGAAAGACAATATTGCCACTATTATAGAAAGGTTCCCAGGAGGCAGTATGTTAAGCAGTCTGTAAGATTTTATTTTAGTGGCTTTTCATTTTACATATTGCTAATTTTTAGTAACTTAACCGCCCGTGAGCACTTCATGTTGATCATACTACATTGGGCGTCTTCCCTACTCAGTTGAAATTTCTGGTAAAGATCTTTAGTGATTGTCTGGTAAAGATCTGTAGTAATTTTCTGATTGCCTAGTCTGAAAAATCTTTTCAGGTTGTCATTTTACGATTTGTTAGTGTCAAGGAAATTTGGTTGAAATTTGTTGCTCTTGTAGTTTTGTTTAGTCCTTCTGGGTTTCTTCATTTCTATGTTTTTCTTATTGTTGTACTTCTACTTTATTGTAATTTCCTATCTGCTTTTTTACCCAGTAGACTGTTCTTGTGTGAGGGGATGGTGTTTGTCTTGTTGAGCATATCCCCAGCTTTCAGTAAAGTTCTTAGTGTACATGACTATAATCACTGCTTTTAATGACCAAATTTTCTTGTCAGGAGACAGGCCTTCCTCCCCCTTACTTCTTAGATCCACTTGGTCATAGACACTTGATTCCTAGTAGCAATATTCCTCATCTATACTTTTATCTTGTCACTTCCCTAGCTCAGGCCCTCATCATCTCTCACTCGAACTATGATAATAGCCTTTTAGTTGGTAGTTATCCTCTAATCTGTGTTGCATTCTGTCGCCAAAGTAATATTAATGAAGTATAAAAGACAAAATTCCGGCTGGGCGCGGTGGCTCACACCTGTAATCCCAGCACTTTGGGAGGCCACGGTGGGCAGATCACTTGAGGTCAGGTGTTCAAGACCAGCCTGGACAATATAGTGAAACCTTGTTTCTACTAAAAATACAAAAATTAGCCAGGCATGGTGGCACATGCCTATATTCCCAGCTACTTGGGAGGCTGAGGCAGGAGAATCACTTGAACCTAGGAAACCTAGCCTGGGCGACAGAGTCAGACTCCGTCTAAAACACACACACACACACACACACACGACAAAATTCCTTATTCCAAAGCCTTTCTGATCTGGCCCTTTCCTCTCTTTTTATAGCCTCTTTCTTGGTTATCCATCATTGCATCACATGCCTTAGCCATGTTGAATTATTTGTTCCGTATCTTTGCCATTCTTGAAAAACAATATGACTGTGGTTAAAAATGTAGGCTTGGACCCAGAGTGCTGGGTTCAAATTTCAGATGTCACTTACTAATTGTATTACATTGGCAAGAAACTGCCACAGTTGTCTCATCTGTTTAAGGAAAAGTATGAGAGGCGATGATGATATTAGGACCTCATTGGGTTGAAGTTAATAAATGAGTTAATACAGGTAAAGAAACTTGAATGGTACTTTGCTTGAAAAATGTTATTTCTTCCTCATCATCATCATTATCACTCCCTCACCTCCACACTTTTACCAGTAATATCCCAACCTGCATTTTGCCAGCTGGTCGACTTTTTTCTTCTCCTTGAAGACTTAGACCAAGTATTAGCTGCTCAGTAAAATTCTTCCTGAACTCTAGAATTTCTTCTTCTTGGTAGAACTGTTGTATTTATTTATTTATTTCAGCCTGTCTCCTCACCTAGAATGAGCTTTTTAGTCTTACTTATTTCTATATCCTATGCAGAGTTCTGATTGCAATGGAATAACTGAGTTTGCATATGGATTTTTAGTCAGTAAGAAAATTGGCAAAGGAAGGAAAAGTGTTTTTTTTTTTTAATTTTTAAATTTATTTTGTTTGTTCTGTTTTGTTTTTAGACAGGGTCTTGCTCTGTCATCCAGGCTGGAATGCAATGGCGTGAACATGGCTCACTATAGCCTCAACCTCCTGAGCTCAAACAATCATTCTGCCTCAGTCTCCCATGTAGCTAGGACCACAGGCGCATGCCACCACGTCCATCTAATTTTTGATTTTTTGGGGGGCGGGGGGGTTTTTGGTGTTAAACAAATTGAGCTGGGGTTCTCAATTTGTTGCCCACGCTGGTCTCGAACTCCTGACCTCAGGCGATCCACCTGCCTTGGCTTCTCAAAGTGCTGGGATTACAGGTGTGAGCCACCATGCCCAGCCAGAAATGTTTATTTTTTTTTATTTTTAATTTATTTATTTGTAGACAGAGTTTTGCCCTTGTTGCCCAGGCTGGAGTGCAATGACGCGATCTCAGCTCACTGCAACATCCACCTCCCAGGTTCAAGTGATTCTCCTGCCTAAGCCTCCCAAGTAGCTGGGATTACAGGTGCCCACGACCACTCCCAACTAATTAATTTTTGCATTTTTTGTAGAGATAGGGTTTCACCATGTTGGCCAGGCTGGTCTCAAACTCCTGACCTCAGGTGATTGATCTACCTGCCTTGGCCTCCCAAAGTGTTGGGATTACAGGCATGAACCACCGTGCCCAGCCAGAAATTTTTTGTTTGTTTGTTTTAATGGTAGGAAAAATAAGATATGATCCATGGTATACTCATGGTCTGAGCAGGAAAACAGTGGGCTCTAATTATGCAGTTTGAGGAGAATTTAGTAAAGGGACTATTTTCAAAGAATAGTATATTAGGTACACTATATAAGTAGGGTATAGGAAGCCACAAGGAATAGTGGTGTGCTCTGGGTCTGCTGAAAGCAGGAGAGAGGAGGAAATAGATACCAGAACCTGAAGAAGACAGCTGAATAGAGCATGGCTATGGAAATTCTTAAAGTGGCATTATCTGAGTAGAAAAAAAATTGCAAAATAAATTCATAGATCATTTCACGAATTCATACTGTTTATTATACCTTCTGAAGTGCTGGACACACTCCACATGTTATTGAATATACAGGAATCGGTAAAACAGACATTATTTTTTCCATATATCTAACTGTAAGCTATAACTTCCAGTTGAGCCATCTAAAATAATCTATGCCACTTTCATTCATATCATTCAGAGTAGTACTGTTTACTATAAATTAGTAAATATTGGAGGATGTTTTAGTAAAATTCTTGCATTGGTGTGGGGTAGTTTCCCATAATAATTAGATAGCAGTGCTAATTTTACTAAGGCCATTCCTATTTTATAACAAAATTCTGCTTCTAACATAAGGTTATATATTTTTGTTTTCTTTAACCACAGGAAGTGGGGAGGAGGAGGGAAGATGAATGTAATCATTAAGATACAGAAGACATTTCAGTTTTATCTTCCTTGGAAATCATTTGGTCTGTTTTCAGACTGTTCCTACTAATCTTGACTCTTTGTAAACATTAATAACTGGGTATCAGTAGGCTCATACAGTTTATTTCAAATACAGCTCTTCACAAAAACTAAAAAAGGAAAATTCCCAGCAGTCTTTTATTTTTCCTAATAAATTTCTCTCCAGATTGTTTAATATTTTAAGTGGCTAAATAACTATGAAGAAATCTGGCATAGTATTAAAATGTTCTTTTTCTTGTTCATAGGTATTCTTCATATATTCTGGATAATAATCTTTTGTTATGGCTGGGTGCAGTGGCTTACGCCTGTAATCCCAGCTTTGGGAGGCTGAGGTGGGCAGATCACCTGAGGTCAGGAGTTCAAGACCAGCCTGGCCAACATGGTGAAACCTTGTCTCTACTAAAAATAAAAAAATTAGCCAGGCGTGGTGACACACAACTGTAGTCCCAACTACTCAGGAAGCTGAGGCAGGAGAATTGCTTAAACCCGGGAGGCAGAGGTTGCAGTGATCCGAGATCTGGCCACTGCATTCCAGTCTGGGAGATAGGGCAAGACTCTTTCTCAAAAAATAATGATAATGCTGGCGCGGTGGTTCCCGCCTGTGATCCCAGCACTTTGGGAGGCCGAGGTGGGCAGATCACTAGGTCAGAAGTTTGAGACCAGCCTGGCCAACATGGTGAAACCTTGTCTCTACTAAAAATACAAAAATTAGCTGGGCGTCGTGATGCGCACCTGTAATCCCAGCTACTCAGGAGGCTGAGGCAGGAGAATTGCTTGAACCTGGGAGGCCAAGGTTGCAGTGAGCTGGGATCGTGTCAGTACACTCCAGCCTGGGCAACAGAGCGAGACTCTGTCTCAAAAAAAGAAAAAAAAAATCCTTTGTTACATGCATTGCAGATATCTTTGTTTAGTCTTTGGCTGGTTTTGTATGGTGTCTTTTGACATA